CCCCCCCCCCTAACTAAATATACAAATTAAATTCTTTTTTTGTAGATTACCCGAGCAACAAGTTGAATCTCCTGAGAAGAAAGTTGATGTTCTCCTCCTGAAAGATAAACTCGAAGTATTTCTTCTCTGCTCTTTACATCGGGTACTCCCAACTCGACTTCTAGATCAAACCGTCCTGGTCTCCTGAGGGATGTGGAGACAGCATCCAACCTGCTGGTGGTAGCTATAACAGCAACTCTGATACAAGATTTTACTTAGTTTAATAATTTTAGTTAATCTTAAACTAATCTATATGCGTTTAGCAAATAATTTTTAGAAATGAAAAAGAAGTGATTGATGATAAACGAAAATCTGTGTTGTTTAAACTTATCTAATCCACCATTATACAATATACAATATACATGGTAAAATCTTGCCTTGTCCCTTATCTAATCCACCATTATACAATATACAATATACATGGTAAAATCTTGCCTTGTCCCTTATCTGTTGCATTTGTATTTTATCAAGGCAGGACTGCAGTGTAGCAACAACACGTTTTTCTTGATCACCTCCTTCTCCATCTTTACGAGGAGCCAAGCAATCCAGATCATCAAGAACTAAAACTGTTGGAGCAAGCCGTTCTGCTTCCTCGAACACTTCACGGATCTTAGTTTCAGTTTCTCCGTAGAACTTTGAATAGAGCTCAGGACCGACGATTAATTTGAAATTGGCTTTAATCTCGTCTTCAAGGTTGAGCGCGACCAAGGTTTTCCCTACTCCTGGTGGTCCATAGAGTAGTATTCCGTTTATACCCTTTCTAGAGGAGGAGAAAATAGAATTTACAGAATCTTGAAGGATTTTCTTCTGTTTAATGACACCACCTGCGGTTGGGGTTTTCTTTTTATTTCCTTGATTAGGTTCTTTATCCAGCTTAACACGGGTACTGGAGGTAACTGTAAAATATCGTCTTGTCTCTCTTCTAGGTTTGCAAGGAGTTGAAGTAACAGGGTCCTCGTCCGTTAGAGATATGTTTCCAAGGCATTCATTCAAGGATTCGTCACAGTCCGCTTCAGGTCCAACGACTGGAAGATGTAGAATCAGGTTTAACTTCTTCCCAAAATATGAGAACGGAACAGAAATACCGTGGGAGAGAATCTTGTTCTCCAAGAAGGATTTAACCCTTCTCAGAAAGTCCAAAGACGAATATTCCTCTGAGTATGGTTCGGTGTCTACTCTGATATCTGTCGAGTAGTGAACCATGTGATGAAACTTTTCAACTTGAACCAATTCATCTTCGACATTTAGTTGGTCCAGCCAGGATCCTCGGGTACAGACTCCATTTTTGTGATCTGGTATATTATGAGGAAATGCCCGGAGCACTATATGGAAACTTGAACCTGAAACTGAAACCCAGGTACCGAACCCTATCCCACAGGACTGCACCACAAAGTTAGGAAGGAAGATGGTGTTGAACTTCTCAGAGTAATTTGTCAAAGGTCCAAGTTTACCGTCAACATTAACAGAAATTGAGGTTTTAAAGATAGAATTATAAACATGAGGAAAGGATATATCAAGTTGGTTCGGAGATGAACATGATGTTTCTAAGAGAGAAGAGTGAGCAGCGGAGTCTGATGTGTGAAACCCAATCCCGGTCAGATTGCATATACTCCAATCCGACTTAGATTTATTTCCTTTCGACTTTGGTCCCATTGTTTTGTCTGAAAATAGAATTCTTATTAAAGTTCTGTAGAGCATGGCCTATTATGTTACTTTCTAAATTATGACTTAGACGGAGGACCAAACAGAATTTTATCAACAATATAATATTGTCAATTGAGGACACAGATATTGATATTTAAACCTATCTTCTCACTGTATTTCTACAGAATTATCAAATGCACAATTTAATTTTAAATTTTAGTTTAAATTAATATAAACTTAACAAAATACAATGTACAAAAGTGGAGAACAAGGAAAATAACACATGATTAATTAGTTATTAAGGTTTTGATCGAACAAGCCCGGCGTCAGTGCATAAAATCAAATCGGCCCCTGTAAAATGTCCTGACCGTAAAACCCAGGTAAGAAGTACTTTTGAGCGTGATCATTAAGTTGTCAACTGAGTGTGCTCTTCCAACTGAAGAAAGAGAGGTTCAAGCAACCCGTTTTGAAACCCTAAGTAGACTTACAGATTTTATTCGAGAGATGAACAGGAAACAATGTTTCTACTGATGTTATTCCTCGTGGATCATACTGATCCATGTGCATACGGTCCCAGGAACCGAATGGAATCCATGGTTGGGTACAGACCACCTCAGTCGAGAGAAAACAAATATGATGAGATGGTCCAGCTCGACAACAAATCCCGTCTAAGGATGGGAAAGGCTGCTATCAAGTACTTTATGGTACTTTATGATATAGTTAAGTGCAAGGCAATATTCAAAGTGAAAGGATTGGAGATGGATAAACATAAAATTGACAATGAAATCTGTTTCTCCAAGAAGCGTGAGCAAATTGATCACTGAGCTCAAAATCTTAGTCTAACACAGGTTACTTGGTGAATTGCCGTGGATACGCTAATTTTTCTAGAAAGCCGTAGATTTAAGACTTAAAGCTATTTTCCTCAGTTAAACTCTATTTTAAAAGATTTAAATTTTTTTTCCTCAGTGAACCGCTATTTTTGCTAGAATTTCGTACTGTCATTTATACACCAAGAAGGGGATACGTTGCATTATATGACATACTCGGATAAAACGCCTTTTGTAATCTTGATATCCTCAACCTGATCTTAATTGGCTTTATCTTTTCTCCTAATTCCAATACTTGAGCCGAATCCTTACCTAGAGGTTTATATGTCTTAATGTCATATGCTGCTCCTTCCATCAGCAAATATATTTGTCAAAATATTGATCTCAAACTCAGATTGACTTGATAACCTTTCTCCGCAAAGATCTTATAAACCTTAATATTGAATTACTCAGATATTAACTTGCTTAATTATAAACTTACGCTGAGTATTAATCTTATCACTTTGGGATCCGTNTCCCTCCTATCAATTTTGTACATGACCACTTTTTCAACAATTTTCCGTAAAATTAGTATAAAATTAGGGTTAGATTAAGACTCTTTCTGGGCCGAGCACTGCGGCTAGAACAGGCTATGGTCCGAGCGCTGCGGCTAGGACAGTCTAGGGGCCGAGCGCCGCGGCTAGGACAGACTAAGGGGCCGTGCGCTGCGGCCTCATGATCAATTATATCCATGTCTTACACATAAGATCCATGTACAAAAATTGATAGGAGGGGAGTCCAAAAATCGTATATTAGGAAATTACCTAACTATGAATCTGTTGAATGTTCCCCGGTACTTCATAAGAAGTTAACAATAACACATGCACGTACTATATTCGGGAACCAGATTACACTTATTTATTTCTGGTGAAACGCCCACATGCAAACTTATGCTAATTCAATTCTGGTGAAACGTCCATATGATTTTATGGTATATTCCTAGATGGGGGGGGGGGGGTCCAAAAATAGTATACTAGGACAGAGCCGAAATTTAAAAATATTTTTGACTACTTTTAATTTACAATTATCATTTTTCATTTTGTAAAACTCAATGGACCTCATTTTAAATACGAGTAAACGATTAATTATATGCGAAATTTTGTGATCATACTCCCATATAACTCCCATGTAACGCTTTGAACCAATAAAGGAAGTAAAGAATTGAATAAAATAAAGATAAGAATTTATATTAAGCATGAGAAATCAAGCGGCAAACATATCGTACCCCAAAAGCACGTAAACTACACGACCACTATCTAAAGAGAGAACGGGCTCAGAGGTCCGAATAGCGAAGTGCAGGGAGGAGATTTCATCACTTTCGTGTTTTGAAAGTTCCACATGTGAACTGCTGAATGCCGCTGCCCGCTGGTTTTTTAATAAATTAAGGCAAAAAAATATAACGAAGACGAGAAGAATTTTAATATTTTCAAAATCTTTGCGGCATTCTGGCTTAGTGGAAAAATTCCCGCGCAACCGAATCACAGTTACACAATATACCAAGTGATTAAGCATAAATTAATAAATTTCAATGACCGTCGTTTCTGTGAAAGCTTTCCACATTCGGTAATTTCCTAGAGAACGATTTTTGGACCCCCCCCGGCCTCCCCTCCTATCAATTTTGTACATGGTTATCTTTGGTCATTTGGCCGCAGCGGCCGCCGTGCTCGGCCCCCTAGCCTGTCTGCTCGGCCCAGAAGTTGTCTTAATCTAACCTGACCCGAAATAATAATAATATGCAGACAAAAATCGTTCTCTAGGACATACAGAACCCATGCATTCGCTGTCCAAAGTTTACGTCTAATATCCGATTTTTGTTTTCAATTTCTTACTATCGTTTACTAGTCTAAACGAAATTTACTTCAACCAGATATTACATATTAATATAGAGAGTGATAGGTTTTGTCAAGACTTTGACAACTTCCAGGCCATTTTTGGACATGAAGCTTAAATGTTACACATGTTTAAAGTTGCAAATGTGGGCGCCCGGCCCCCTAGCATGTCCAAGCCGCGCCACTCGGTCCCCCCAGTCTCTCCAAACGCAGCGCTCGGCCTCATTGTGAACGCTAGGAAAGGCCTAAATTAGGTAATGTCCAATGCACCGGTTTCTTTAATACTAAATATATACGAGTACTAGGCTTTAAATATTTCAATTGTGAAAATGTTCTCTTAGTACAACGTCAAAAATTTGCGGATTTTCTAAAAAAACAATCGAGGGTTTTCACAATTTAATGGAAATAGACTTTTGATGGAGGCAAATATTTGAAATCTTTTTCATCCATAAACCTTCCTTTGGGTCTCGTGAAGTCCCTCTCAAAATTTGAACCGAGACAGATAGACAAGCTAAGTATATATATAGATTAAAGCAGGAAGACTTGGAAGAATTAAGAAGAGCTATGATAAAAATAATTTAACAATTTAAACCTAAAATTTCAGGTTAACAGGTAAATACCTAGTAAGGATGTACACAGTTCAAGAGAAAGGGAAAAGCATTGATGGACGAGGAGTAAAGGGACGAAAAAGAGAACGGACTGAGGATGAAGATGTTGAACCCAGTGTTAGTTCAGGAAGAATTAAGCTTGGAGATCTCCGTCAGGATGGATATGAGCATCAAGTCAATGCTGGAGAACCTGTTCAGGGTCCGTCATCTAAATATGAAGATACAAACTCAGCACGGATAATGGAAACCACAGCAACCCTTGTTGAAATGTTTCCTGGCATTGATCCGCAATACCTTTACCTTAGGAACAATCAGCAGTATTTTTAAAGTTCTCTAGAGATCCAGTTCTATTTTTTACTAATTTTTAAATATGTTTTAATTAAGTTGAATAATAGATTGATCAGAGCTCAGAGAGATGACGCGGAAAACGTAGAAAACCTGATTCTTGAATTGTGTGACAATCCTGAACCTCCTCCAGACTGGATACAACTGTATAATGCAGTGTCTCCACAGAAGAACAATGTTGAAGATTGTTTAGATAAGGCTAGGGCTGCCGATCCTAGGGATAAACAGTCACCTAGTAGCAGTCCAGGTCCCTTAACTGAACCTGGAGTTAGTTTGCGGACAGGAGTAGCACAAGAAGAGGAGCTCAGCGTTAATTTAGACGCAGAGCAACTAGAGATTCCAATGGTTGAAAAGTTCACCAAGGAGAAGGTTTCAGAGCTAGAGAATCTTTTTCCTCTCATAAAGTTAAGTGGGTTCAGGAGCAAATAGCTCAAGTATTGGTCCAACCTTTCAACGGACTTGAGGAACTAGAGGCAAGGTTTGAGACCAAAGTGGATGAAATATTCTGTGAGAGCAGTGGAGAGGATAAAGGTTCTCAGGTTGGATTAAACATTAACTTTCCCATCTCCTTACAATTCAAGACTACTCAGATTTTTCCAAAACGGACTTCTGATATGAGTAATCCGCAGGATGTTCATTTTAACATCGCATCTGGCATCTTTCATCGTTTGTTCGGACACAATTCTTACGCTGTAAGTAGTGTAACAATGGTGCAGAACCCAGACCTGGAGGCAAGATTCAAGCAGAAACAAAACTATTTCCGTTTGTTAGGAATCCCATCTGATCCTGTGTTTGGGTTTCATGGAACCAATGAAAGTAATATCGATCCAATATTGAGGAACAACTTCAAGCTTGAATCAGTGAAACGTGCTGCATACGGATTCGGTATTTACTTTTCTGAAATGCCGGAGGTAAGTGTCGACTATGCGACTGGTTCCAAATCATTGATCCTTTGTCAGATTCTACTTGGTACTCCAGGGGTTAATAGCAAGGAGGTTAAAGGTCTAAAGAGGGTAGGAAAGAAAACTTTAAATGCACAATCTACACGGTCCTGGGCCATGATCATCGGAGAAACTAACGGAGTTCGTGATGAGAGCAGCATAGATCAAATCCTTCTTTCCTATGTGATTCATTATTGTCGGAAAAATAATTAAAGAGATATTTTATGTTATGAAAATTATCCTTTAAGAAGGCTCGTGAAAATGTAAAGCATTGTTCGGAAATTTTATCTCTCGTATGTAAATGAAAACAGTCAGTTGTTAGGTTTACTTAAAAAAAATATTATCTAAATTTATTTTCTATTAAATTTTTGTTTCTCGAAATATCGTTGTTGTTTTTTGGTTTTGTTTGCAAATTTTTAAGATTTCAGTTTTTGTAAAGAATTTATTGGAAGTAAATTGTTTCTTATGCCTCGAATAAAGTTATGCATTATTTCAGAATGTTTGGTTAGCTTAGACTATCTTGCAAGGTCTACAGAATGGATCAGGTGCTGTTTCTGTTTGACCTGGACCAGGTTCTACCGGTTCAAGGAGATCTAGTTCAGGAGGAGGACCAGGAGATTAGGCTCAATCTGATAAAACAAACCTGTCTCCGGATTCTCTTGGTCGGAGTAAACCGTCTCAACTTAGATCATAGAAACCTTCCTCACTTCGGGTTCAGGTGAGATTCATGCTTGATATTTGTCGGCCAGCCAGAAGAAAGAAAAGAAAAAATTATATTTTGTTTTTTAGGTTTTTTAGTTCTACTGACTTCTATCCTACCCCGGAGCAGATATCTGGAAGTTTTGTTGAGTTGAACACGGAGAATTGGGAGAACCTAGAATCAGCTCTAGAAGAGAGATTACGTATCGTAGTGGAGAATGCGATTAAAGAATCCACCCGGAATAAAACTTACTTTTCTACTTATATGAAGTCTGAAGGTATATGTCCAAAATTATCCCAAATGAAAAATCATCGCTGAATGTTTACTAAAATAGAAAAATAAGTTCTCCGTAATAAAATAACTGAAGTAGTGCTCCGTGCTAATATTACTAAAATAATGGGGTCAAAAATTGTTTTAAATTTTTTTTTAACAAAATACATACCCAATACTCATTTTTAATTAATTTTATGCTAATGTAAGGACACAAGCGACCGAGTGAGAAAATAAAAATGTGCCTTGAGGATGTGACTGCTTTGTTTGACTGGGACAGACCAACATTACAATCTCCATGTAAAACGGTGAGTAATTACACATTTTGTTATAATTTCTAGCAACAGTTACAGTTGGGATAAATTTATTTCTGTTGAGAATAGACTTTTTAGTAATTTGTATCTAGCTCTGCTGATATAAAAACTTTTTTTTAATTATTTGAATTTAATTTTTTTCTTTAAACTTTCCATGTTAATCTCATATACGTATATATAGCGGTGCATTTTAGATATTTATTTATTGAACCGCGGATGACCCAATTTGATCTTTCGTTTGAGATTTTTATAGATCTTAAGCCTCTTTAACACAATCCTGCTTGGTTCGAAATCTATAATATACCTCATAGTAACATTATGAAATTCATCTTGATCTTTTATTTCCTCCAAAGAATGCTGTAATAATATAGCATATCGTTACATATCTCGACACTATTAACTACAATTATGAAATTCATCTTGATCTTTTATTTCCTCCAAAGAATGCTGTAATAATATAGCATATCGTTACATATCTCGACACTATTAACTACAATTATGAAATTCATCTTGATCTTTTATTTCCTCCAAAGAATGCTGTAATAATATAGCATATCGTTACATATCTCGA